ACAGGCCTACCACACTGACCCAGATGTAGCGACAAAGACAGAAACTACAGAGTTCCAAAGACGCAGATATTCCTCCCTGGAGCAACCGTGAACATAATACGCAAAATGGTGTCAATCACCGGGGAGCTCCTTGTTGGTATTCCAACCCACACCCCCCGCAGCAAGGACTCCTTCTCGACAGTTAGTGAGAATTTGGAAAACGCCCTTAAAATTTCCTTTCAGACCCGGCAACTGCAAAATGAGTGTCCGGAACAGACGAATAGCTTACAAACCACTTTTTGGATCTCACAAAGGTATTTGATACTATGATTCGGGAGGGACTTGTCAAGGCAGAGAGAACGGTTCAGGGTTATGGACGGGCGGATGGGTGGGCGGATGCGATACTTTATACGCAATTAATCAGTATCACAGTTAAATGCGCCTGCACGCAGTGCTGACAGACACCAGCCGAGAACGATTAGATATCAACAAAAACTGCCGAATTAGTGGGATATTACTCAACACTCGCCGTGTGCAGGACACTAAAAAACGCCCAGGACGAGAATACATGGCGTATGATTTGCTGGCGACCGTTCGCGGAACGCCAAAGAGGAGGTAAACATACAGAGATTAGGGTATTGTGTTCCACGAAAGCTCGCACGATTAACCTAATCAGGTCGACAAAATGACAACATTTCCAGCTAAGCTGTCTTCGGAGTAAACTGAAACGATATGATGCGTAGATGTTACAGCAGTACATTCTCAACTGCTTTCACATTCTGGACAATTCCTCAATTTGTTGGTCGAAAGGACTCGAATCTATGGTACAATACGCCTTAGGTTCTCTCAACCGTCGAACGGGCGTGTATCAAAACGCCGGAAACTAACACAAGTTGTGCAATATTGGAGAAGGTGTGTATTTTCATCCTTGGAGCTCCCAAGAATCTTCTGCATCTAGAGTAGTCTTTATGGATATTAAATATTTCCCGTATGGAATCAATCTACTTTATAATTGTCACCTCCATAAGCGACATTGACTTAAACACGAAGGCTAGGAGCACAACTAAGAAACCTGCTACATTAATCTGCGCCTTTGTGGAGGGACACTATTTAGTAACATACCCGGACAGCTGCCTATATTTCAATTCTACGTACGTTTCCAAAAACCATCGTTGTGACTACAGCTTTTTAAACTAATATAGTGAATCCGCTGAAACCAAAAATAGTAAACACTGATGTTCGCATTTACCGTGAAAATTACATTGGAAGGAAAACAGAAAAAGAAATTTACTCAAGAGAAACAGGATCACAGATAATGCTTACCTCACATTTGTCGACATCTACCTTCACAAATTTTACTGAAGTATACTTCCTACTAAGTTCAGCAAACACGGGAGCAATTATTTTGCATGGCCCACACCACGTAGCGTGAAAGTCAACGACTATAAGACTCTCTGAATCCGAAGACTTTACAATTTCTCTGAAGCTCTGGTCATTTTCAATGTGTTTAATGGTGCTCATAATGTTGTCCTGCTAGGCCGTCAGCCTCTGAGAGATCCTTGCTCAATACAGCCAAAACACTAATAATTCCCCGTTTAAATAAAGGCTCCAA